GCTGGCCACCAACCTTGCTGCAATCGGAGCCTGTGGGCCACACCACATGAGCCGAAATCACGCAGGACCCCAGACCCGCTGCATGAGGCAGGACCCCAGACCCACCGTGTCAGCGAGACCTATCAATGCACCTCCTGGTGACCGGTTGTTTGGTCGTTATGGCATTACAGCCACAGGCTTTTTATATATAGATAGATGCCATGAAACAAAAATAAACTTCACTGCTAGTTTGTATTTTTATGGACTACTGACAAAAACCTTTGCTACTGATTTTTCTGGAGATATTTGAACTTTTTATGAGTATACATTTTTATATTTATGTTTTTAGCTGGGCTTTTAAAAAACTTGAGTCCATTGTTCTAGCCAGTTTGGCACAGTAGATAGAGCGTCATCCTGCAGACTGAAGGGTTCCGGGTTCACTTCTGGTCAAGGGCACATACCTCAGTTGCAGGCCCGATCCCTGGCCCTGGTTGGGGCTCCTGTGGGAGGCAACCAATCGATGTGTGTCTGTCACTCTGTCTCTCCCCGTCCCTTCCACTCTCTCTAAAAATCAGTGGGAAAATGTCCTCAGCTGAAGATTAACAACAACAACACCAACAACAAAAACTTGAGTCCATTATTATATATCCAAATCAAATTACACAAGCCAGAGCCCGGCTGCAGCATGTGTGTGCTCTGATGAATAAACACAAACAAGATGCAGGAGCAGCATCCTGCACATACCCTATCCCCCCTTCCCAGTCTTGCAATGGCAAGTTAATGCGATAAATTTATATTAGAGAAAGTTTTTGGTTAGTTCTTGCCCATATAAAATAAAATTTTACATTCATGACCAGAAACATGAGTAATAATTAGATATAATCACTCAATATGGAAACAAGATTTTTTTTTTATTCTTCCTTCAAGCTTCTGGACTATTTTAATAGCAAAAATCTTAATATTGCCCAAACCAAATTAGCTATTTTTAAAAGTTGCCATTTTCAATTGCTTTTCTAGTATTGAGAATTGTCTCAATATTATAAAGCCGAAACAAAGTACAGAAATATGTTGATGATGATGATTTAAAATTTCAGCTATTACCCCTATCCCTTGATTTCATATTTTTATTAGTCAATCGCTTGTTGTTTTTATTGATGGATTTTGATAAGTAGCATTACAATTTGGTCTTATAAAATGAGTTATTACTAACAAATCTTTTTCTGTTGTATATAATGGAGATTCTATGTAAAGTTTATTAGATAAGAGATCTACAATTACTAGTAGCTAGCGATAGACATTACTTTGAATAAAGCACTTTTGATGTTTCTCTTGAAATTATCATATTTTCTTTGATTACAAAATAAGCATTATTAACTAATACACCTAGTAAATAATATCAAAACCACTGATCTGGCCCAATCCATTAGTTTTACAAATTGAAAAATTAAAGGTCAGTTTAACTGTCTTGCTCAAAGTTATACAGCTAGAAAACTGTAGTTGCCAAAGTTCCTAATACTTAGTTCACTGTTCTCTCTATTATTTGTTACCTCATCTCTGAGTTCCTATAGTACATTTAGTTTATGTCATTCCATTTAGCATTTAATGACATGGTTTGTATACATCATTTATTTATTTATGCAACAGGAAATTTTCTGGGTGCTAGGCACTCTTGTAGGCACTGGATACCATCTCTGAATCTAAAAATTGTGCTGAAAATAAAATAAGAAATGTGATTCTATTCAGCCTCTATTTAATTTTGGTTGAATGCACACCTGCAATTAGTCATTGTATCACTGGGTGGTTTTAATATATTACTAACAAGAGCTTTTCTGTTTATGGCTATGTTTCAGGGGAGTAAAAACGTTCTTTAATATTTTGAAAGGTGAGAAAAACAAATAATTTAACTCAAAGCACTCTGCATACCATGAACCTGTAAATGTGTTTGGCAACCACAAGCACAAAGATGTATGAAACAAGGAATGTGTGTGGTAGGTGCTGTTACCTTTATGTAAACAGCACTGTAGAATGAGAGGAATGAACAAGCAACTCTAAGCAGGGGGCTAGAGGGGGCTTCACGGAGGAGCTGGCCCTGGGGTTTAGTTAAGGACCAGTAAGTTGCATTAAGAAAGTGGGAGGAATTCTTTTGAAGCCCAGGAAACAACACATGTATAAGCATAGAGGTGTGAGTGGTTCTAGCATTTCCAAGAAAGTTTAACGCAACAGGTTCCTAACTAACTAGGGTGTCTTAGGAGGAGTGGTGAGTGAACGTTTGTACACACCATTAGACAATTGAAGAATGGAAGTAAGGAAATGTCTGAACTTCTTATTCTGTATAGGTATTCCTCGTGCTTCTACCTATTTCTGCCCCTAAGGTCTTTGAGAACACTGATGTATTTGTACTTCCCAACCCCATGGTGATGTGTGCAGTGCCGAGCATGGCCAGGGCTCAGTGCATGCTTGCTCACTAAGTGTTCCCTTCATTCACTCAGATATTTTTGGCTGCAACATGTACTTTGTGCTATTAGAAATAGAAACTTGTGATACAAAACAAAAAATAGTAGATTTTTGTCTGTTATGATGACTAATAAATCCATGTACTCACAGAGTTTACATTTTTGTCAAAAGAGACAGGCAGTAACAAACAGTAAAATATGTAATATGTTAGTGATACATACTAAGGGGAAATAATAAAGCAGAAAAGGGCTATGTAAATTATCAGAGAGGGAAAGAGAAGGTCAGTCTACTTAATTTCTCTTGCCTCAGTTTCCTTAACTCTAGAAAAGAAAAAAATAATAGTACTTCTACAGTGACAACAGGGATTAAATGAGTTAATGACTGTATAGTGTTCAGCACAGTTTCCAAAAGATGGTAAGATAAATGTCAGCTAATATTATTCACATACTTGGCTAAAATAAGTTTAGCACAATAATCATCTTATTTTCATCACGTATGGACTTCTTTTATTGAAGGACGTACCTCCAAACAGTTATGAACTACTCTAGAGGCTAAGACTCCTCATCCATATCTTGCTCCTTTTAGCTTCTGCTTCCAATGCATTTACTTCTAATATTTGTTATTGAAATGAATCATTGTTTTTTATAATGTTCTAGAAAACAATATTTGATTATCCAGATGTCAGGCCATCATTCTATTTCAGGCATTAGGCCGGCATCCAGATCTTTCTGTGGAAAATATTCATTAATGCTTCATGACTTATCACATCCCAAGGTTAAAAGTTCTGACAAAAATGAGACCTTTATGCTTGCTTACCAGCTAAAAATGAGTACAAATTACCAGACAGAATGTAAAGCCTTCAACATTAATGTTTTGGAGTTAAGACCATTTGCATGGATTAGGTAGTTTCAGGTCTCTTACCTACCTTTCTTTGCCTTTCTAATCTCTGTGCATCCTTACATGTATGCTGACCCCCTAACCTGATTCCCAAAATCCAGACTAGCTCTTTTTTGTGCTCATTTAGCACTCCATACTTAGCCCCTGTCATAGCCAGTATCATTTAATGTTGTAATTACCTGTTCACCTGACTGCCCACCCTGCACCTCCCAGGCAGTAAGCTCCTTAAGATGGGACTGTGTTCTCTTTATGCTTGGGTCTCTACTATCCATTCAGTGCCTCACATGTAGTTGCCCAATAAATACTTAAAACATTAAATATAATGCCTGAAGTGCCTTTAGTATATCAGGATTATAGAAACATAATTACTTAACCGTGGTCCCATATCCCTTACTTGCTCCTTTGTCTCTTATGAAGAATCTCAATGCTCAAGCATGCTGTTACACCACGTCCACCACATTCCCATGTCCTCCTTTGGCCTAAAATAAAAAAGAGAAAGTGGGCTGGTTATCAGGGAAGACCTCAAAAGTAGAGGAGCACCCTGTGAAGTAACTATGGTCCAGGATGTGGTACTTACTCTTCCAATTTAAAGAATTGTTTTTGCCTTTGGTCTCAAGGGTGATGGGGCTCTAGGGTCTGACACAGACCATCTATACCATCGATATTTACAAGAAATTAATTTACAAGCCAGATGACCTGTTTATTTGTTTGTTTTCACTGGGTGAAATACATATTCGTGGTATCCAAGTCACTAACTTAATGATATCAAAGCCTCTAGGAAATCCAACAAATATTCAAAAGGTTGTTCAATGATCTTAGAAACAGAACAAGGTGAGTTAGACCAGTGGTTCTCAACCTTCTGGCCCTTTAATACAGTTCCTCATGTTGTGGTGACCCCCAACCATAAAATTATTTTCGTTGCTACTTCATAACTGTAATGTTGCTACTGTTATGAATCATAATGTAAATATCTGATATGCAGGATGGTCTTAGGCGACTCCTGTGAAAGGGTCGATCGACCGCCAAAGGGGTCACGACCCACAGGTTGAGAACCGCTGAGTTAGACTGTCGCAAGGATTATTTTACCCAGACTGAGGAGGAGCTTGTCAGTGTGTCCCTGATGGCTGACCAGAGATAATAGACTAAGGGGTAGCAAGGTCTCAAGCACACTTTTGAAAGCCCTTACAAAATTATTTTTTATTTGCTAAAAGAAAATAATTTTAAAAGTCAGAAAATAAAACAGTGACATTTTCTAACTCTTAATAATGGTGATGTACATTTTGGTTCCTTAATTCTTTGATCCCAAGATGAGTTCCGAAGTTAATGATAATGTGGTTTTGCTGATGATGGTGCTAAGAAAGAAGGAAAAATGGAGCATTGAAGTTGGACAAGTTTTCTGTCCCCTCTACTTCCTCTAATTGAAGAATCATCACTGTCTCAGGGTCAACTTGGTTTCATTAAGAAAGTTAAAGTGTGCTTGTGGTTCTAGCTGGCTTGCTGGTGCTCCAGCACATAGAGTAATGCCTGATGATCCACTAGTTCATCCTTATCCTTGTGAAGAAACTATGACGTGAAGGTTAAATTGCCATTGGAAAAAAAAAAAGTTATACCTCTTGTCAAGGGCTAAAGTGAGTCTTTCAAGCCTTACCTCAAGGTCCTTTCTGTTCCAGAGATTGGAAACCCAAGTGCCTACAGAGGCCAGTCTGGTGGGAATGAAGCAGGAAGCCACAGCAGTGACCTGGAGAGCCAAGTTCTTTCTGAAGGAGCAGCCGCTGCTCTGGTCCAGATAATTGTTGCAAAGCAGGAATGTTAACCTAGTGATGCCACTTTGTCCAGTTTATCAGGTAAAGCAGGAAATGCAAGTTTTCATGTGAAATTTTTAAAATTTAAATATTTTTCAACTAATTTGCCATTATTATTATTATTATTATTATTATTATTCTCAAACTATGTACAAGCCAAATACTTCTGCAGGTGGAATTTGGCCCAGAGTCCTTCTGTTTGTAGCTTGGTCCTATATTTTGCTTACCTATTTGTTGAATTGCAGGCTTTATTTTCTATAGCTTTTGCTTTTCTTCAGCATGTGCTCTAAAATATATTGTGCCTGGTTTTGTGATATTGAAACTCCTTTCCTCTCCAACCTGAGTAGTTTGTGCATACGTTTTCTTTGGCTGCTACATTTCCTCGTCCACTCTCAGCATTCCAGTGAGCCGTGGAAGCTAAATGGAGTCTCCTTGAGATACTTTGTTATGACACCACTAAACATCTGCAGGTTTACTGCTCACTCATTTTGCTACTGACGGGTAACTGACATAAACACAGTAAAAGATCATTTATTTCATGGAGCTCAGAGATTGTATGCTTTGGGCTCCTCTTTCCAGAATCCACACATAAATGATCTTCCTTCTCTTACTTCTTGAGAACCTGATTTATCAGACAATTTCTTAGACTTTAGTTATCTTTTACATTTAATTATGTTTGCTGGAGACATTGATTGGGCCTGAGTGTACCTAGGTATTTATACACATTTAGAGACAATGTCTTTGGGTGGGTTTCTTCAATGGCTAATAAGTCTTCTTATTTTCACTTTAAGAGTAACCTGATTTTCAAGATTATGGGCGGGTTGTGGTGGGGGCGGGGGAATACTGTTACTTTATACAGAACTGTGTAAGTAGGAACTTGACATCCACTGCCAGGTGAATAAAAAAATGCTAAACATTTTTATAGTAAGAGTATATAATTATTAGTTGTTTCATTATATTACACAACTCCACATGGGCATAATTCATAATTGTTTCATTCTTAATACAATTTGGGGAAAAAACAATATCGATGTACATCATTTTTCAACCTACATATATTGAGCTTCATCTTGAGTAGCCAAAATACCAGTAATGCATGATTAAGGTGTAAAAAGTAACCCTAAAACTTGCTTGGTGTACTCTTAAATAGATTATGTAAATGCAGGCAAGTATTTCTTCTAAATATTCCCTATGAGAAATTTCACTATACTATAGAAAAGCAAAAACAGCAAATTATGCTGGTGATTGAAATATAGAAATAAATTATAAACTATTTTCCCTCAAACTTATAATAAGTTTATCAATTAATTTATCGGTGTTCTGTTACATTACTATACTTTAAAACTATTCTCTAAATGTTTTTTTAAGGATATGTATTTTGGAGCTGATGATTGTTCACTTTTTAGCTTTTAAGAAGGTAAATTGGCCAAAACCGGTTTGGCTCAGTGGATAGAGCGTCGGCCTGCGGACTGAAAGGTCCCAGGTTCGATTCCGGTCAAGGGCATGTACCTGGGTTGCGGGCACATCCCCAGTGGGAGATGTGCAGGAGGCAGCTGATCGATGATGTTTCTCTCTCATCGATGTTTCTAACTCTCTATCCCTCTCCCTTCCTCTCTGTAAAAAATCAATAAAATATATTTAAAAAATAAATAAATAAATAAATAAATAGGGTTAGAAATTTCAAAACCGAAAAAGTGCCACTTGCTGGCTTTGCTGGTGGCTGGTGGCTGCCTGACAGAGGGTTTCCGTTTCTGCCCTTACCCTCACCACTGACCACAGAGCCAGCCCAGGCCTGCGGGGAGCTCGGCGCTCAGCTGCCCGCTGCTCCGCGGGCCTCCAGGGCCTCCCCCGACACCGCCCACCTGCACTGAGGTAAATTGAATAGGAAGCATTTTCTACATATGCATACAGACCCTCACTTTTCACTTCCTTATATTGTTAAAGGTAAAAGGGGAGGCTTTTACTTGAAGTTAACTGTCTCAATCATTTTTTTTCTTTGCAGTCAGGTAGAATGGCAATGGCAAAGAGAAAGCTCAATTATATGTAGTAATATGGGTGAATTACTGGATATTATTTAGGGGAACCCAAGTTAGGTTTGGAAAGCCAAATTATGACTAGGGAAACCTCGAAGGCCTCTCTGAGAAAGTGACATTTAAACTGAGACAAATAGGTGCTGGTTTAGTGAAGAACAGCAGGGTCAGGATGGGAGACAGTAGCCTAAGCAGAAGAGATGAGTGACACCCTGGGGCATTTTAGAACCAATCAAAGGGATGGCCTTAATTTTTTTCTCTAGTATTTAGATTTTTCGGGTTAATGGGTATTCTTTCTGATTCTCCATATCTTTTTTCTCTACTTGGCTAAAACAGAAAGAGCAGTGATAGCGTAATATGAGGTGCAAAGCCTGTAACTGTTTCATAAAAGTTTCCATAATGCTTTTAAGAAGCTGAAAGATATTAATTAGCTGGTCTATAGATATAACATTTAATTTTTTTGAAATAATACTTTTTCCAATTATAGAGCCAATACATTTTTGTTATAGAAAATGTTGAAACTACAGAAAAACAATGAAAATATAAAAATGTTCCTACTACCCAGAGACTACTGCTGGGAGGATAGTGCTGTTCTATTCCTAGATATACATATAGAGTAGCATTTTGGTAAATGAAGGTTTATAATTATAAATGCAACTTTGTAGTATTCTTTTCAGTTGACAATATCATGGACCTTTCCTATGCTGTTAAATTTTCTATAACATGATTTTAATAGTTATGTATAAGTAATAACAGTTTGGATATTTATGATGAGCTAGGCACTGATTTAAGTTTTTTATTGCATCCCCAGATCAATTCTATAAGGCTATAATCTCTATTCTATAAGGGAAGAAATGTTAAAGCTTGCCCAGGGTCACAAGCTAATAAAGGGTAGAGCTACATAGCTTCTCAATACTGTAATTCATGTACATAACACCCTATTTTAGACTTTCAGTTTGTTTCCAGTATAGTTTTTGGCTATTTGATTCTGTAGATTGCCAGTCTAGGCTGGGCTTAGCTCGTCCAACTTATCCCTGTTCCACATGGTGTTGGCTGGGCTCACATATACGTCTGGGGCCTCAGCTGGACTGGCTGACCACCTGGTGTGTGGTCCTCAAGGTGCCTAGCTCAGGTTGTTCATGTGACAGTGGCATTACAAGGAGCAGGAGTGGAAGATGCAAGGCCTTTTAAGGGTTAGTCTCAACTTCAATAGTATCACATCCATCCTATTCCATTGGTCAAAGCAAATCACCAGGCCAGCCCAGATTCAAGGTGTAGAGTAATCCCACTTGCTGATGGAAGGAGGAACAAAATATTTGTAGTCAGTGCAGTATACTACACTCAGCATTTAGTTTTCTAAAGGCTGTTATGTGACTAGAATGTGTAAGTTGCTGAACTGTGGTAGCAAGTAATGGCCTGATACAAATAATCCTCCTGACCATAGATGGCCATAGGCCAGCATGCTTGTTACCTTGACACTGAAGGCTGGCCTGACTCTCTGACTTTCCTAAACTCCCTAACCTTCAGAGTTTCTGAAAAATGTAGCCTTCCTACATGGGTGTGATCCCTCTGTACTAAAAGGGCATGGGGATGTGGAACCAGAGAGCGTCAGTGATCAGGGCAAAGATGTGTGTAAGGAATCCTGGTACATCCGCATAAAGCAAACATAAATGTGCTGGGAGTCACTGGGAGCGAGTAAGGAGAGCCTGGAAGAGATTAGGTCTCTCACAAAGGATATACCTGAGAGGTGTGTTTTGGAAGAGGTGGCTGTACAGTGAAGATAAGAACCAAATGGAAATAATAACCAGAGTGAAAGTGGGGCTGATCTATTGGACGGTTTTTTAAAAATGAAAAGAAGATCTAACTGCAAGATAAGTGTGCTCATAAGTAAAAATGCATAGCTGGAATAAACAGGTGAAAGGTGGAATAAACAGATGGTAAGGTTGGATGGAGGGAGCTGGCTAAATGCCATGAAGGAGCCATTTGAATAATTGATACACAGGTGAAAGGTAATTGAAAAGGGGAAATGTCATTTAGGGTTACTTTAATGAGCATCATTTAACTAATAATGATGGAAAGATGATGGGTATATACATTTATTACCCAATCAAATGATAATTATGTTGTAGCCACTCAGACATTACTCTCCAAAATGCTAATGCTGATGTTATTTTTAATCCAATCACATCTCTGTTGTGTGCATATGTTTTGGCATTTAAGTATAGAGGTAGGTTTTATGTGCTATTCGTTCTCAGTTGGAGAACATGAGGTGTTCACTCTTGCAAATGTAGGAATGCAGTGGACTTCTTATTTAACTTTAAGTATTTCATGAGCTATGTTTATAATTATAGTATTATAAAGTATAATGATGATTTATATTATACAACATATTAAATATTGATGTTTTATCTGATTTACATTTTAATAGAATATATTCATATCACATGATTCAAAAATCAATTCATTATTTTTACCATTAAGTTTGTCTTCCATTATTCAGAAGAATTTATTATTATATTTGATGTTATTCAGAAACATTTATGAATCTGCTTATTTTCTTGAGGTCATATTCTCTGATATTTAGTCTTCATGGTGTTTCAGGTATAACTTTTAAAATTTACATCAACACTGCATAGCGAGTTTATTCTTAGTTTGACAAGAATGTCAGCATTGAGAAAAAGGTCTATTGTACTACTTAAAATCATGCTTAGTTTTTATATTGTTGCATTTATTTATTTATTTTAGTGCTTCCTTCATTAATTAAATTCAAGTGTGTTATATATAGTCCACTTAATAAATAAAACTCTGATGCATAAAGTTAGCATATTAATTTTCTTAGAAGCTCTATTATACTTTTTCTACACTCAGAAATTATGAGATCATTAGGGACAAATCTAGAACAAAAAATCATTTTGTATATTTTGTCAAAATACATACTTACTGGCTTCTTTTAAAAACCTCTTTTTCATTTTAGACATGTGTTTTTAAAACTTTATAAGCCTACATGGTAGA